CGGAAAAGGCCATTGAAATTAACAGCTTCATTTGACTTTCGTTTACATCCGAAACTGAAATTAACAGTCTGACATTTGGAAAAATTTAGTTTAATTCCATCAGACAAAGACCATTTGCTGATTCCTGATGGAAAGCTAGGAGTTAACAGGCATTGAAATAGTCAGATCATAAGCATAGTTCACTTCATCAGAGTGAGGCAAGTCATGCAAGAAAGAAAACAGAAAAGGAGAAAGAGGAAATCCAGATTCAGCAAGCAGTGAAGTGGACAACTTCCTCTTGCATATGGTGTACTGCTTTCTTCCTGAGAAATAAGAATGCATCCAGTTAAAAACCCAACACTCAGTTTGAGTTACAGAGAACTTGTTTAACACAAGGTCCCTTGGTACCGATTCAGAAGCCGATGTGTAATCCTGGAGGGCCCAGAGAACAATTTAGCCTGTCTCTCTGAGCTAGAAAAGATTTTATGATGTAAGATAGCAGCTGCATCTAAAGTGCTTCTACTGTGTTTTAGGTAAATCGTTTGGGATCATTAAGGGCTTTAAGTGTCTTGTGTAATCTTCCATACGTTTTTGGCAAAGCACGATCAGATTCGAACAGTGGGACTCGTCTGTGAGCTCCGCATTTTCCATACTCATTTATAAACACTGTGTCAAGTGAAGTATCCAGTTGAGTAGGAAAGTTAACAACATTTTCATCACCTAAAATGTGAGAAAACTGCAGTCACAAGAATTAAAGTCAGCCTTGTCTGCATTTAGTAAAGACATTTAAGGACACTAAATTTTCATCATATGAATCGTGCAGGAGAATTTCCCAAAACGATATTACAGCAGTATTGCAACAGACATTTGGGAACAACAGAGTATTAGGTGGTTGGAGGCAATCGGCAGGAAGCCTTGGACCTAGGTTTCGTGCTAGTTGGCACTCTGACTGCAGCACTGGGTGACGCGGGTTCGAATCTCAGAAGGGAAATGAGTTCCTTCAAGGCTGCAGATATGCCTTGCTGATGAGTGCCAACTAGCACGAAACCTAGGTCCAAGGCTTCCTGCCGATTACCTCCAACCATCCAATACCATCAAATCAATGTGCACCGTGATGGCGAGCTAGCTAGAACAGTGGTCGCATTACAACCTGACTGATAGAATTCAGTCTACACCAATCAGAGGACTAGACGCATTACACTAGTTACTAGTGTCAAATCAAAATAACAGAGTATGCAAGCCCAAATAAAAATTTTTAAAGCAGCAATTTTGACGCTGATATTTTTGGGAAATTCTGAGGAAATGCAAAATTTTCATCCAAGAAACACAAACGAATTTCCCCCAAAAACCCTAGAAATACCCCACAGATAATCAATAAAAACCACAAATAGCCCGAAATTGCCTCAGATATTTTTGTTTTAGAGCAACTAATCTTGTTCGGCAACCACTAGCAATTTGTGCTTATAATCACAAGAGCAGTCATTTGATGCACTCGAGTACGCCTCACATCTCGTTGCTACTCACCCACACTAGTAAGTCAGTCGGTTGCCAGTAAATTAGATAATTCCCAGGTAAATAATACGATTTCGACACATAACTGAATGATTAACACAGAATAAATCCGAGAAATTCGAGAAAATATGTAAGATGTAACACTCTCATTTTTGAAGGACTACTGTATTGAAGCGATTTCAGCACTCTTGATAAGTTTTCTGACAAAGTGTATGTTTTTGAATAGGTGAAATCAATGACTGGTCTCAAAGGAGCATATATTTTGTGCATTTCCAGATTGTCGTAAAATCTAGCGGCCGAGTTTGCTTGGAGACCTAATGATGGTTGATGAAATCTGAGTAATTCTGCCGAAAAGGCTGTGGCTAACACAGCGAAATGTTCAGATATACCTTGTTTTGATTTTCCTGAACACTCTGACATTACTTTGAGTAATTTATGCTGAGTCAAACTGTTTTGTATATTGATCTTCTACTTCTATATACGGTGACATGTGATACAGTTATATACAGTACGCTAACTCTTTTGACTATTCTAATGAAGGTGACAATGATAAACTGTATGTTTATTCATTGATATGTGTGCATGTCGTCTGCATTCAAACTATGTAGGTTATTCTCAAACACGTTGGGTGTCTGAGTTAGTTATTTCGCGAGAAATGTTCATTGTCAGGGTATGACTGGGAGGTGGGGCAAGTAATTAAGGTAATTAAAATTGCCACTAGTGGGCTCAACCGTCTAATATTTGCAGAAGTTCGCAATAGAGTATTTATTATACCACTAGTGACAGTTTGTAATTCAGTGATAGTTGAGAAGACTGAACTAGTGAATTTGACACTTATTCATGATTCCACAAAAATATATAGATACAACGAAGTTAAGCGAACTACCTCCAACTACAGGGAAAGAAACAGAACAATTAGTAACAGAGTAAATTAGTAACAATATTATTAATATGCGATTAGACAAAGTTGTTATTATAAGTGTAAAACTTCGAAACCGTGGTATTTGTAATTTCATATTTATTTGTTTACTATATAAATCACACAGCGAAACAGCATTCTTTACTTGATGACGAAGTTTCAAACACAAAGTATTGTTGCTCAAAATTATATTGCTTTCCCTCTGTTCTGTCTCTAACCATGATGGATAGTACTGAGAAATCCGATGATGAACTGGTCTAATCTTACGCCTACTGTAATTATCTCTAGAAGAGCAGCTAAACTGAAAAATACGCATGTGAAAGCAAGAACAGTGAAGTTTATCTTTGTTTTGCCAGTCAAATATTGGCTGGTTGGATAATAAACAGCATATCGTAGCTCAATTAACGATAATCTAAAATCACTTTCTAGTCGTTGTGATGACACTTGGCCTTCTTAGTTCATCTAGAATATGTAAATGATTAAGTTTCTTCAGTGAGTACCATTTACAGTGGCTTATAAGTACAATATTTTTGCCAGTAATTTCGATAGATATTTCTTGATGATGAAAAAACTAATTAGGGGAGATTTCAAGAATCGATGTGTAGCTTAGCAGCTCTAGAGACAGTACATTTCATTTTTAAATCGTTTAGTTGATTGATTGAAATGAAAGTAAATAACATTGCACTTACATTAAATCCATCAACGCATCTGACAAAATCAAAAATATCAGAAAAACTATGTTCATATAGATTTGATGTCACTAATAAGAGGATTTCAGCGTGAGCATTAGTGGTGTCCCTCTGAGACCTATTGTCAGATTATTCTACAGCCAAATGCTTCATTGAGATTCTCGAAGCAGTGAGACCAAATCTATGTAAACAACATAATCTTACGGATGCTTTTGATTTTCACAGTTTCTTTGGTGGAATTAATGTGACCGATAAGCATATGATTTCATCAGATGTTTGTTCCTTATTAAAAAATTTAGTACTAGTAGAAATTATTTGTTATCTGTATGATTACACTGATATAAGGGGCATGAACATTGAATTGTCAGGCAACTATCTAAAGCAGCTATTGTTGAGAGGGTTGCCTAATGTGCGATTTAGATTTCACGACTTCATCTATAATCAGAGAGATGGAGTTCTTTAGGACCTCTCCTAGTGAAAGTCTTCATGGCGAGCCTAAAAGGTAGTCCGCTGAAAGAAACTATCTCGAGTCTGCATATGTGTAAAAGATATATGGACGAGACCATTACCATTTGTGATGAAAAGTGTTCAACTGGTGAACTTTTCGGAAAATTTAATGGTTCTCACCAATCTATGGTTTTTACTATTGAAGACGAGTCAAATTCAGCATTTCATTTCTTAGATGTTTTACAAGAGAGGATAGCACTCTGAAAATTCAACCTTTCTAGGACAGTACACTAACTTCAAAATTTGGGTACCTCTGAACAGAAAGAGAAATTTTATCCGTTCTTTGTGTTCCAGAATTTGGAAAATCTACTCTATAGATAGAGTTGATATGGAACTAAAAAGCCTTTGCTCAACTTCCTCAAATAACATATATCCTAGAAGGTTTATTGAAAGAAACATCATGAAATAAACCGCCGCTAACCAAATCAGAGTGCCAAAGAATACACTGTTTACGAGTTTGGCATTCAAAAATGACACTATTTCTGAAGTGATTAAAAGTCCTTTGTCGTTTTCATGCAAGTGACTTAAATTTAGTATTCACCAGGCGAAAGATGGTCGGACAATGAGTCAAGGATAAACTACCGCTCATATCATCCTACCCTGTGCGCGTAAACGGTTTTACACGTTCGTGTGTAGCTGATTACACTGCATGTTGTAAGCGTGTTTTTTCTAGAAATGGCTAGCTGAATACTACCCGTTTTGGTTACTGAAGGGTGAGCATAAGATAGTGAAGTCTTCAATTTGAGAACACATTCTAGAGTCAGGTCATCCAGCCCCACATGATTTATCCTTTAAAGTTATCTACAGGACCAAATCCAATTTATATTTTATTGCGTAATTTATGAGAAAGTGTAACAAAAGTATTTTTTATCATGGTCTAATGGAAGTCAAAATGAAACAATCTATTCAAAATCGGTAAATGACTCACAATTGAAGATTATATTATAGCCAGATGATCAAGAAAATGGTGCCTTATTTCTCTGTGACCCAACAGCCATTGACAGCTCATCGTTTGATTTGCCAGAAGATTATCAGAAGTTGGTTGGTAAATGTTCGTGAACAAGGTTACCTGTGAAACTTTTCCCAGTCAGTGAAAAACTCAGGAAGAAGGAAGAGTACACAGAATCTCTCTGAGTCTAATTATGAAATCTATACACTGACTTCAAAATAGGGGAGTTTGGAAGTTAAAACTGAAAATGAAGTGATTAGGACTGGGAAAGTGTGACTTCTAAATATTATTCAACTTAACTCGATTCAGTAGAAATAACACCCATAAAATATTTTACTTTCTTGTTCAGTAATACTAAGGATAAAATATAATTACCCATTAGGCAGCAGATTAATGATAACAACACATTCATTAACTAATATCAGCTAATTCTTTAAAATTTTAGTATACAATTATAAATAATTCAACGGAAATGAGGTTCTTTGAGAAATTGAAGAATGCCGAAGAAGTAATCTTTGAAATATGGAAGCAACAGGTTGTGTATAACAGTAAGTATTTAACCAATTCGACTGTTATTCATGAATTGTTACCACCTGGAAAATAGGTAACCGTTAGTAAAGTCATGATGGAGTCTTATTGACACTGTTCAGTAGCTTTTTTCGACTGAAGAAGGTATAATTAGACTGTAGAGCAATCCTATTTCAGCAATTTCTATTGTACTTCCGAATGTCCCTAATAGTAAATCATGCTGTTTAAATAGTTAGTCAGTTAGTTCACAAGTTCTATTTAGTGTTTTATAACGTAAAAAAATAATTTTCAGGAATTAGTTTTCAGGGATTTCATTTATTTCAGGTTTGACCATCGATTGATATCACTTATTAGAGAACCACTGAAAGCCAATAGGGAGCAAAATTCAACCGTTTCGTCCTAATTTGAGACTCATCGGTAGTACAAACCCACTTGGATTCGAACCCAATACCTATCGGCTACCAGTCAAACCTGTAGATCACTCAGCCACTGCAGCCCTATTCGATGGCTAGTGCCCAAATTCCGACTTCTATCAACTTGTGATTTTACCACAGTGACTAGCCATTGTCATCGGCGCGATTATTTGTCCTTGCTCCGGACTTGGGGTAAACTAGTGGTCACGATTTTTCACTGGAACTCCAGAGGACTTCTTCCTGTAGCTAGTCACTAACGAGCATCATGTTAATCCTCAAGAGTTAGTTCGTAGGGGTTTATTTCTCTCAAGTTTGCTCACGGATTGATAAATTGGTGGATAAATTTTATCACTATCAAAAAGGAAGGCATTTCTAAAGTGTTGATTCTAGAAATTCAGAAAGCCGCTTGATATATTTTAAGTTGCCTCACAACAGTAATGGAAATGTACACAAACAACCATATTAGAGTGTTTCATTACTAAGCATAACTTGAGAAATGAATAGGAAAGTTATTCAACCTATACATCTACTCCTTGTTTTTCAGATGAATTTACTTCGAATTATACACTATGGCAATATCCTGTCACTGAAAAATACGGACTACTCTACAGTAGAATGAAAGAATGGGGTTTCACCAATCGCCGCGAAGAAACTCTACAACTTATTAAGGACGGCTGGGTGATATTCATGGAGACTCCCAAAGCTGATTATTACATTGCAAAGGAATGCAAAATTAAACGATTTGGCAAACGTATTGGTAGTTGGTATTACAGCATGATATTACTTCCACGCTCTCCTTTAACTTCTCTGTTTAATGAAGTGTAAGCTGTTCCCATTTCATAGCTGTTAATTTAGCAATAAAATTATGTATATGCTTTAATAACCGCATCTAGTTCTAGCCAGCCAGTCCCAAGCCCGGGTAGAGAGGTAGAGTTGTACGTAGGACTAGCCACCCTACTGAAACTTCGCCGCACAACCTCCTTCACTTATCTAGGAAGCGCAGTTTCAACCACAGCCAGCGGAACGGATAAAGAGGTCAAAGCCAGCCAGAATCGGAAAGGCAAGATTCACCTTGAATCAACCTGAAAACGGTTTGGAAATCTCCTGCACTCAGTCAGCATCAAGAACAAGATTCGGATTCCCAACACAAATGTCAAGTTGGTCCTTCTCTATGTGTCAGAAACTTGCTCCGCGTGTCACGAAAAGGATTTCGAGCAAGTTCCAGACGCTTATCAACAGATGCTTTCCATAGCTCCATACTGAAGATTAAATGGCCCACCAAAAAGAATTAGCAACGAGAAACTCTGACTGGCAATAAACTGACCAAGAGACGATTGCTCAACAGATATGTAAGAGGAAATGGATATGAATTGAGCATACATTGAGGAGACTGTCGAATGAAGTCACGTACAATGCAGGTCATTGCTCGAGTTGAACCTCAATGGGGAGCGACGAGCTGGTCGTCATTACGAGGGTAACATGGAGAAGATCGTGCGAGGAGGAAATGAGAAATTATGGGAAATCGTAGACTCAACAAAAGAGGATGGCAGAAGATGAAACAAAGTGGAGATGAGCTGTTAAAGCTATATGTTCCACTTGTAACCCAAGGGAATAATATTAATAACAGTAATAATAAATGCTTTCATAATGTATAGTAGTCACCAAATTTATTTAGTGTTATTACAGATTGCCGTGAAAACAAACACATGAATTTGGATTAATGGAAGGCATTGTAAACACATTCTTAGCATAGACATAGCAGTGGTCTTATTAAACCACTAGTCTAACTAAAGTTTCTATCCAGTTTAATAGACCAGCTTTTCTCCGTTTCCAGTTGTTTTAAGTGGAAATTCGATAAGTTACATGATTTCATAATGAGCTGACATTAGTTAGAGAACCATTGGAAAACCTGGGAGTACTGGACAGCTGTTTCGTCCTAGTTTAGAACACTTCAGCAGTACGCACCAACCAGGATTCGAACCTAGGACCTTCTAGCTAATAGGCGAGCTCGTAGACCATTAAGCTACTGAGACCCAATCTAATGGTCAATTCACGACGTAGCGCTACCCCTACCGAATGTCTTCGGCGAGTATTTGTCCTCAAACCCGACCTGCTCTACCCTACTGGTCACGACTTCTCACTAGAATCCCAGGTAACTACCTACCTAAATAGGGCAAGTCGCTAGTGAGCATCTCATTGATATTTAAGTGTTGGTTTGTAGGGATTTGATTGGTTACAGGATTTCATCATGAGCTGACATTAGTTAGAGAACTATTGGAAAACCTGGGAGTACTGGACACCTGTTTTGTCTTAAAGCCAGCTCCTCGACCGGGAATCGAACCCTGGCCATCCACGGGCAATCTTGTAACCAATCAAATCCCTACAAACCAACACTTGAATATTGGATTAATCTTCCAATTTTGTTTTTAGGTTGTAAAATAAACTCGCGCAGATTTTTAATTGATTTTCAAACTACCATTGTGAACTTCAAAAAGATTAGGGGGAAAACGCAGAGGATTAAGTCTTGTTTGAGATGGAACGATGTTGTGTCATTGTTTTAACAGTATTACTGTTTTTATTGGTTGTTGTCTCTCTTGACTCTAAGGCTAACTGGATAGATTGTCCGTCCTAAATTCCCTTTTTAATATATTTTCAATATTGCGGTGGCGGAAAGATAATTTTCAAGTGTTGGTTTTGTAGGGATTTTATTTGATTGGAGAAAGATAATTGTAGATCTGGGTACTCTCCCTCTATGATAACTCCCCCATCATATAACATGGAATTGTTGCTTGGTGCCTGGTTGACTTTAAAGGAAAAAGTAAGCGAGTCATCACATTGTACGTTAAAGTACACTAAACATTTATAGCGGTGCATGTTTCCTAAAAGTTTTACGGAGAATTTGTATCGGTTCATCGAAATCAATATCACGAAAAAGCATTTCCCAAAGGGATGGTTTTTCAATGGAATCAATGTCGAATAAATCCCGATTATAATGATTGGTAGGATAACATAAATCTTTAACATCCTTTGAAATGAATTGAACATCACAAAACATTCTACCAACTAAGTTCAAAATACCTCCAAAAGCAGGGTACAGCTGGTCGGGTGTGAGGACAAATACTCGCCGAAGACATTGGCTAGGAGTCGCGCTATGTCGTAAATTGTCAGAAGTTAGAATTCAAGGACCATTGGATTGGGTCCAGTGGCTTAATGGTATACGAGCTCGCCTTGTAACCGGAAGGTCCTGGGTTTGAATCCTGGTGGGTGCGTACTGATGAAGAGTCCCAGACTAGGACGAAACAGCCGTCCAGTACTCCCAGGTTTTCCAATGGTTCTCTAACTAATGTCAGCTCATGATGAAATCCTCCAAAAGCATTTTTAGCAACATAGCATGTAGTGGAAACTGGAGAGACTTATTCCTTCTCCTCTGAGATAGGAGAAACTGGAGTGAAAATCTCTGTACTTGATTTGATCTTATCTCCTGTTTTATGCAATAGTGCCTTCAATAGATTTCTGATGCATAATTAGAATCCATATTCTTGATCTGATTTTAACATCAGTTTCCGTGGATTCATTGAAAACCAACTCTGCAAATAATGGTTACAGGATTTTATAATGAGCTAACACCGATTAGAGAATCATTGGAAATCCTGAGAGTCCTGAAAAGCAGTATGCACCCATCGCTATGCGTACCCAGGACCTTTCGGTTAAGAGGTGAGCTTGTAGACCATTAAGCTACTAGGCACCAATCCAATAGCCCATGAATTCCAGCTCCTGCAAATAATACATCTACTGATAAATTGCTCTATACTTTTGTGGTTGTTTGGATGATAGAATCAATAATCTCAGTATAAGTTGTTGTCCTAAGTAGATTTTATTTCATTCTTTTAAGTTTCCAGTGTAACAAAGGGCTTCAGGTTAGAGCTCTGAAGTCTCGATAGCGGCGATTTTATTCTTACGATGCGGGATCGCTATCCTCACTTTCAGCCGTCCCACTTTACCGGCCCTACTGCCGGTTTAGAGAGGTTTAGGAGTGGACCAGCCGGAGATTGAGCCCGAAACCACGTGACTGACTGGCAAGTATTTTATCAATGAACCATCCTAACAGTCATACGACATACTTCCAGTGTATATTGATTGAATTGAAGATCATGTACAAAACAATTTAGTTTATCTAATACCCTGCTGGAATGATTATCAGGTCAAATACATAGGTCAAAGTAGTAGAACAGGGGCAGTTAGACTAGCTGAACATAAAAAGCTAGCAAAATCTAGATTGGTTGACCCAAATAAGATAAGAAATCTAGAGAATAGTTCAGCTACAGCACTGCATGCAGTTACACACAACCATACAATAAGATGGGATAGCATGACAGTTTTAAAATCGAATGTCACAGGGTATAGGGAGAGATTGATAACAGAAGCTTTATTTATCGAATGAACTGCAAATACATGTAATAGGAATGATTCAACACCTCTCCATCAAAATATCTGGAAAATTCTACTACCCCTACGACAAATAGGAGAAGACAAAGAAAACTATAAAACTCAAGTTTCAAAGTCGTGTGATTACAGTTGATGTGATCATGAACAATAAATTTGCTCGAAACATCATCCAGTAAATAATACTGTTTCACTGTGCGATACATCTAATAAACAAATCCATGTGGAATGTTATAAACTTACCAGTAAATGAGGTGAGTCATTTTAATTACCGATCTTTAAGGGTAGATCGTATCAACGATGTATCTGTCTACAAAATTTTGCTCAGTCTGTGGACTAATCCAATTGATTTGAATGGATAAACATGACATAATCAGTGAACGGCTCGTTTATAATTGACAGACTTATATAATCTATATTGATATTCCTAGAAAACACCTTAGCATACACAGATGGAGGTCACTTCTTTCACTAAACTTGACAGTATCCTCTCAGTCATAGACAGCTGGCATGCATGAGGATGTCGAAACCAGAATTGAAAAGGCAAGATATTCATCAGTCTGAAATTAATTTGGAAATCCTCGAAACTCACCGAAATTCGAATTTTCAAAACCACTATGAAGTCAGCTGCAAAATTTTATCAACAGCTATCTTCTCTGGCTCCATGCTGCAGATGAGATGGCTAGCCGGAAAGAATTAAAAAACAACAAACTGTTAGAATGAACTAATCATGAGCCTTGGGCTAAATAAATATGTAGAAAAAATGGAGGCGAATAGGACACACGCTGAAAAAAACGTCTGGAGACAGTGCACACCACAATATGGCTTCATTAGAAGCCGAATGTGAAACGAGGAGTTGGATGCGTCTCCGAGCGTGACATGGAGAAGACTCTGTGGGGAAGAGATGAGAACTTATAGGCAGTCGTCAGGTCGGTTGAAAAGGATCAAATAGGACAGGATGGAATGGAGATGTTCTGTTAAATCACTATTTCCAACTAGGAACTCAAGGAAATAATTATAAAAATACCATTAAAACAGATTCAGCACCCTGTATTTAAGGAGAAATGTCTTAAGAAACGCAAACTAAAGTAAAAACTTACCTGATCTGTACTCTCCCTTGGAACCTATAAATTCAAGTATAAGTTTCAGTTATAAGAATGCGGCTTTACAATATCCTGCATTTACTTCCTATTCAATTTATTTCATTTTTATACCATGAAAGTATTTATGCAATGGAAGCTGATTATACAATTGACGCTTTAAAAGCTAAATGGTGGGCAAGTGAAACAAGTAAATGTGAACCGATTGCAGCTGATGAAGGTTACGGTTTCGAGGAAGTGGGTGGTATGTTTACACTACTTATCTGTGGACTTGTAATTGGTGTTATTTTATTGGCTGGTGAAATCATTGTCTTTCAAATACTCTTGAAGAAGCAAAAAGCAAAAGTAAGTAACTTAATTTATGTTTAGTAAACAAATCTATCACTGAGATGTGATGTCTTCATTCATACATATTCTGACTAATAATAACAAAACAATAGCTTTATTCCAATAAGTTATTTTGCTACGAATGTGGGATTTTCAATATGTAGTGCGGTATTGCATTCAATTTACTCATTACACGATTAATAGTTAAAATAGGGAATTTACATTGACAATATTGTTAAATAAGAATATGAGTATTAAATTAAAATTCAGGTGGGAATAGTAACAACAATATAACAGTGAAAAAGTGAATAAAATGAGTCGTTTACTTAGAGCTCCACAGTAAGTTGGTGATTTCCTGCCTTACTTACTTCTTATCACACGAAATGAGCGTCTGACAAGTAAGGTAGTGTAGTGTTATTATACTCAGTCGTTTGAGAATATAGTCTTCTACAGTTGCTTTTAGTTCCACCTGATGAGATGCAGACGTAGAGATATTTGTGTATTGAGAGGATGCTCAAAGTGTGGTGTGGCAAGATAATATTTACTAATTGCTTGCATGAGTTCATGTATCTACCTACAACAGTATTAACCAGTTGGTTTAGCGACAACTCACTGGTCGTACTAACATCTGTAGTCTAGGAAAGCTTAAGGCAGGGAATCAATGAAGAAGGCTGAGTAGAATATGAGAGTTGACAAACTAAGAAAGTAGGAAATAACTGAGGGATACTAGATTGTCTTAACTTCCTCACGTAGAACGAAATATCATCCTGGAAACTAACATGATATGGGGAGACCAGGAAAGATCAGGTGAGATACACAATCCTAGGTATCTAACATTCAATTTAGTTTCAACTTCTGTAGCATCTATGATCGTGGAACCATGCTAAAAAAGCAGTTCATGTAAGTCACTATTCTGTCTGAAAGTGAAATCAACCACCTGAAATTTGGAGGGATTAAACTTAGGACCATTTGACTAGGACTACCGAGTAATTTCTGATAAAGAGCTATTCATTTAAAAACAGTCTCTCTGAGAATTAACTGGTATAGAAACAGTCAGATCATGGACATAAAATGAAATCAGTTTTATTAGTTTTGAAAACTGAATTTTCGGAGATAACTGCTTCCAGAACGAAGTTAGTTGAATAAAGTATTTCCTAAAATGATGATAAGTTACTTGCTTGTTTCAGTTTCCTTTAAAATATTTGATCTCAAATGAAGCATTTCATTGTTAGATTTTTTGTATTTTTTTTCAATATTCGTTGTTTAAATCTAGCATATGTGATATATTTGAATCAGTAACTGAAAAAAGAAATGTAGAGAGGTTCCTATCTAAAAGATGTTTTATGTTATTTACTCAATAGTCAGAAATCAATGAAGAAAGCGACTTTCAAATTTTGTAAGCCTGTTGGTCCACCTATCACAAAACCCTTCTTTATCAGTGTATAACTCACACACGAATTATTTTTTGAAACTGAGTCATAAATTAAGAGCATATTACCCTCTTAGGATGGTGAGCCGCATTGACAGTAATAATAATTATAGAAATATTGTTTTTAACAACATTAATGTCATTTGAAATCACAGTGAATCAATAGTATCTATAGGTGATTACAGTTCAGAAGCATCAGCAAGAGGTAATATGCACCAGTACAACGCAAAACTAAGTATCAGATAAATGAAGGGAAGTAACAATGAATTTATGAATTCATAGTTTCGACAGCAGGCCTGAGTAGCAATAGTGGCTGGCTGGACCATTTTCTTCTGTACATTCAGCTCTGGCTTATTCACGCGAATTGCAGCGACATTGGGTACTAAGAGTGCAATTTATTCGATACCCGGCAGATGATAGGGATGAAATCTTCAATTCCAGCTCTGGGGCCAGTTTGGACGCAGTGATTCAATACAAAGCTGCTGAAGGTTTTAACAACACCTTTATTTGAATACAATGGTACCTGTTCCCGAGCACAAAAAATTGCGTTCCTAGAGCAACAGCCAATATGACTAACTCCACAGGAGCAGCTGAGTGATAGACACAGTTAGAGGTGGTTGGTCTTGTTACTTCATCCATCTTTCCCTTTCAAAATTACAACCGACTGTATGAAAATTATAAGCTGCAGCTTAACGCCATTAAAGGTTCTCTGAATTGATTTCCTCAACTTGGTGACAAATTTATTCTTTATTGACTAACGAGTCTTTAAAATTTCAGTGCATTGCAAAATATTGAATGAGTAGAGTACTCATCAGACAGTAATTATCGAGTCCGTCAGTGGCACAGAGGTAGAATTCTCGCCAACCACGCCAACCGGCAGACGCACTCCTTTATTTGACTAAGCCCGTAGTGAGACAGGTAAAGAGGGGAGGTTGGGCACTAGGCTAGCAACCCCATCCCGTAAAAATAAACACCCCTGCTACTGAACCTTCAAATCTTTATTTCGAAGCCCTGTGTTCCACTAGGGACGAAAAAGAATAAAAAACGTATTGATTGGTCAAATATCGAAGTTGTTGTGGTCTATCATATGTAAAATATAATATCATTGTTCTACTGGTATTTCGTATTTAAGATTTTTAAACGCTGCTAACACTGAACTGTTTTATTTAGAAATGAAAATATTACAAGGACTCACAGTTCACATGAGTTTATTACCGAGATTCGATTAGTGTATTGCTTGTTCTTTTTTTAAAAGGAAGTTAATACTCCTCTGAAAGTCAACTAATAATCTCCTAAGTGATTATTACTTTGTAAAATACATTTTGTAAATCTACAGCTATTCATAAAACACTGTAGCTTATAAAATTTAATAGTGCGAAATATTCTTTTATCATAAAGTGAAAGTCAGTTTGAGTGAAAAATATTCTTTTCAGTAAATTCTCCTCCTCAGGTCCGTACAAATATAAAATATATATAGTATCTGTTATTGTCTCAGTAATGGCCAGTTATGCGGCGGATGCATTTTTTAAGTAGAATAACAGATTAGATATAGGGTGACAAAGTAAATGGTATTTGTGTGGCAAACGTGCTGAGGCTTACGATTAGGCTGGTTCGTCTATGCATTCGAGATCATTTACCAGCTTGGTTCCTCAAAGGCGAGATAAAATGCATACAAAGTTCGATTCTGTCACACTTGGTCGATACTAGGCATCACATCGACGCCAACATAGCCTGCAGGGTTGCATGCCACATTCCGAAGTTTTGATGTGGTTTTGTTCTCTGAGCTGGATGGTTAGTTTGCGAAGCTTTCATCACTTCATCATCAAATTGAAGTATGCGCTGAAAATGTCACCCAGTAAGGTGATGAAAGCTTCGCAAACTAACCATCCAGCTCAGAGAACAAAACCACATCAAAATCATCCACCTGAGCTACAAATCTTCTCTATCATATCTACATTCCGAAGTTAATAGCATGCACAATTCACTGACGTCTCCTACATATAGCTGAAGCTGTTGCAATTAGGTCGACTAAACCGGAGCTTCGTATTGAAAGAGAACACACACATGCGATGTTCCTAGTGTGGCCAAACTTGAGTTAAAATTTCTTCTCTCCAACAGTGCCTACTGGTCTTATCACTTTTTTTATTTTGCTCTGCTTATTGGAATGAATTATAGTGATAATAATAATTATTATTATACCGTTCACTCTAACATTGTATCGAATTTTCCATTTATACTGTTCCAACTTATTATTAGTATTATTATTTTTCTCAATATTATGTGCCCCTAACTGTTTCATTTCACATATTGACTATTTTATCATGAGCTAACTATTCACCGCAGTCTTATTATCTCCTTATTAATGAATACTATTGTGTACTAGCCACATGCCTGACACCTTTTATAACCTTGAACTGACTTGTCAGTTTTTTCCCACGTTGTATAAATCTATTATGTGGAGGATTTCATCATGAGCTGACATTAGTTAGAGGACCACTGGAAAACCTGGGAGTACTGGACAGCTGTTTCTTCCTAGTTTGTGACTCTTCAGCAGTACGCGCCCACCGGAGTTCGAACCTAGGACCTTCCGGTTACAAGGCGAGCTCGTAGACCATTGAGCCACTGGGACCCGATCCAATCTATTATGACTAATCACCACTGTCGTCTCCCATTTCAGAACATTTTGTAATTGAATTCAGCTCAGCATGTTTGTCACACAAATACTGTTTATTTTGTCACCCTATGGTAGTTAGTCTATTATTCTATATCAAAAAGGGCATCCGCCAAATAATTGGCCATTATGGTAACAATAACAAATGTAATATTTTTATAACTATGGGAACTTTAAAGTAATTTATTGAAATGAATATTCTTAGCTCACACTGACTTATTGTTCATTCTAGAGAAATTGTCTTGAGATCTTCTGATATATCGAATGTGATCTATAAATCACGTAAAATTAGTGTTCTCTGATGACTTGGCTTGTACAGTAATGTTTGATGCATGATACTGAATAATTCCAGTCACTGAATCACTTTACGCAAATGTCACATTAAAGAGGATTAAAGAGGACCTACGAAACCTGCATTGCTTGTTCTGAAACAAAAATAGTTCATATTAGATTATTGGAGAATGATTTTGAGTTAACATGCAGAGCAATGGAAAAACAACGATATATTTTGTACGAAGCAGCAACTTCTGTAGGTTTTAATCAAAGAGGATTACAAAGTAAGCGATCTTTTATTCCTGCAATAGAAATCTGTTTAGCAATATCATAGAAGAGTATGAGAAACAGTTACCAATGTGCTAGTCTAGTACTAGTAGTCTGGATAAGAAACTATCTATCAGGCAGGCAATAGGGTGTCGAAACTGTTATATCCCGAAAACCTCTTGTCGACGGACTTCTAGTGTCTAACACAACAACTGAAATAAAACATTTTCTGTCTGCAAATATTTAGAATTCTTCCATTTTAACAGCTATCTTCAAGGTTCGGAGAATAGTTATAGTCAAGTGTTACTAATCAACTGGTATTTTATCGCACGAGATGGTGATGATATTTATTCTGCTAATGTGTAACTAACTTGTAATAGTTCTCATCAACTTTTCCTGTAACACATAAACATAAAGCAACAAAAGTATTTGGATCAGATTCTAATGAGTTGACTACACTATTATGAGAAATTATTACATGATCTTATAGTGTATCGCTGAATTTATTCCATTTACATTGTGCGCATGTTTGTGTCATAGTAATCAACTTATTGTTCTAGTTTTACTTTTTACTAATACAGCTTTCAGAGTCTTCTAAAGGATTTATATTGACGTATACTTCACTACGTTTGTGACATTATTTATTATTATTATTCCCTTAGATTCCAGGTGGAAAATAGGGTTTCAACAGCGGATCTCTATTTCAATCTATTGTCTCCAGTCTTCTTTAGCTAGCTCCATGACTACCCTCAGGAGCTTATCTCCAACTCACACAATCTTCTCCATGTCACACTCACACCGAAGCCCAATTCGTCATTTCCCACTCGTCATCCACTTGACCGATGGCCTCGCTCAAGACGTCTCCCAACCGTCTCTTCAACATGTATCCAATCCATCACAATTTTTTCTACACATTTATTGAGTAGTTGGTTTGTTCTAGTAGTTTCTTGTTTCTTCTTCTTTCCGGCTAGCTATCTCATCTGCAGTGCGGAGCTAGCGAAGGTAGCTGTTGATAAAATTTTGCAGCTGACTTAATACTGGTTTCGGAAATCTGACTTTCAATGGGTTTATAGAAATTCCAAACTGCTTTTAGGTTGATGAAGGCGTGTCTTACCTTTCCGATTCTGACTGGTTCTGACATCCTCATCCGTTTGTTGTGCCTGTACTTGAAACGATGCTTCCTAGATTAGTGAAGGGGGTGACATCTTTCAGATTAGTTCCGTTGATAGTGGTTGTTTCTTATTGTTGTTTTTAGTTGATTGGCTGGTTATCTTCATTACCTGTGTCTTCCCTATTTATGCTTGAAGTCTTATCTTCGCTGCTTGTTCTGACAGCCTGGTGTTTTCCACTTGTAAGTCTTCGGGTTTTTTCGACAGTGAGCTTAAATCCTCGGCAAAATCCACATCTTCTAGAGTCTTCTTACTGGTCTAACTTATGCTTGTCTTCTCGCTCCGCACTCACGTTGTCTTTCGTGATGCAGTCCACAACAGTTAGGATTATCATCAGTGGTAACCGGCAGCTTTTCCTTACTCCTGTCTTCCCTTCCCTGAGTTTTCCCTTGTGGATCACTTGGAACGTGGCACTCATTTATTGAGGAGTTGAATGAGGTTGATAAAGATTTGGGGCACGCCATACTTTAGAAACAGTTTCCAAGTTGCTTCTCAGTCAAAGCTGTAGAAGGCCTTTTCGAAGTCGATGAAGTTGAGATAGAGATTTGACTGCCATTCTATATTGTGTTTTGTGATGATGATGTGTAGAGCTGCAATATGATCTGCATATTATTTGCTTTCCCTGAATCCAGCTTGTTCCGAAAGGAGTTCTGTATATAGTGCATCCTTTATTCTCTCTAGGATGACGTGACTCAATATTTTTCTCCGCGAGGACAAGAGCATGATTCCAGGACAGTTTTTGTAGAAGCCTGAGTCGCCATTCTTTGGTAGTTTATCTAATGTCACTCTGTTTTGACATTGTTGAGAGCTTGATTGATTCTGAATTCAGAACTCATACTGTTTGTCCTAACAATCCTATTTCCAGTCTGAATATGAGCTATAAATCCACTATAATAGTATGAAAACTTGTTAGCTACACTTTATTTAGTCTGTGATTATAGTTCACCCTCACATTTCACTTAAACTACTCCATCATTTTCGATTTAATTTGAATCTCAATCTGAAAAGACTGCTTATCCATGGCTATTCCTTAAATAAGGCAGAACTAACATCCATAGACTACTAATTCCTTCTTCCTTTAGGCAATTTCTAGTTTCACTTTGTAAGACATCTGTTTTTCTCTTCCACTCTAGGTCGAACCTGAACCACCAAACTCACCACCACATTCTCCTACAGCAGACAACGAGCCAGTAAGCGTACAAGAAGGAAAGGAAGAAAGTGTTGATAATACTCCCCCAGCTATTCCAATCGCACCGGCTTCAGTTACAGTTACTACAACAGATTATGATGAAGAGGAAGCCGACAAAGCAGTGCAATCATCTTAAATGGGTATATTCGTAAAAAAGAAAAAAATAACAGCAAACTTTAACATAGATATACAGAGAAAAATAATTCACCTGGCTGCATGGAAACTCAACCCATATAGTATGTATTTATTTTTATAGCTGTAGAGTAATTAAATCAAGATTCACCTTAGTTAAACAATATACTACTATAGAAATACAAAATACAAAAAAACGTTTTAGTTATCTCTACATTAGTATCAGAAGAGACTTCACTCTATACTATGATGAAGATCGTGTTAATAGCTCTGATGTCGCTGAACAATTCAATGCGAAATGCATTAAACAGGCTCAAAGAGTAATTCTATTCGGATGGCCTAAACCATTGCATCGTTTGTAATTTCTTTCAAGTCGATATCATCACCATGTCTTAAGCACAATTTGTTGACTTAAAAGTGTACAACGTTGACTTGTAAGATAGGCACTAAATCAAATTGTATTCATTTTGTCTGTTACTCTACACATTATTTTTTTTGTAAGTGGACCCAACATATTTATTTCCAAGATTTGCACTAGTTAGAAAAATTAGCGGTCTTAATGATAAAATAGGCCAGGGGAACACCTGACCACTGACCTACATTTTTGTCCCTGGTTCAGTGGCAGAATGTTTGCAAGTCACACACGTGACCCGAGTTCAATTCTTAGCAGATGCACTCTTAAACCTTGCGTAGCCTTTATATAAGAATAGAACTTGTTCACTGTAGTAGAGTATAAATGCGTTATGGATAAGATTTGTTTTGATAAAGTCTCACTGTGTTATACAGTTATATTTACTGATGACGTTTCGAGCACAATTTATTACACCTCATAATCATATCAGGGTACTCACACAACTTTCTAACTTCGTTTATACAATTCCATTAATTTTTATCGCTTGCGTAGCCTGTAGTAAGCCAGGTGAGGACAGAAGGTTGGGTGTGAGGCTGCCAGCCTCACCAGGCAACAAAAACGTGACAACATCACGGTTACTGAAAATTCATAGTTCAATCTTGAAGCTTGAGGTTTCACCTGGAATGCATAGCAATAAGAAGAAATATACTCCTTACGATTGAAAAGAACGAAGTAAAACTACATTAATACCTGAGCGTTTATGTACGTAATTTGCAAAAACATGACACCTAATTTTTATATTCGTGGAAACCTGTCCCGCATACTTTTTATTCCTACTATTACTCATCCCTTAAGTTCCAAAATGAACAGAGGAATTAAGCAGATTTGATTACGTTCTCAGACGTCAATCTCTAATAGCTTCAAGACTGCCAAGTCGTAAAGTCAAACACACAAATTGTGAGGTATTAAGACAGCTACTCAAATACAAAATGACTGACCGTTACACAGTAACTAGTGTGATTTTGTCTTGTCTTTATTACTGAAAGTGAAATCACAGAGCTGTGTGATTTGCACAAAGGCAGATAACAATGAATTTGCGACCTGGAAATCGTTGAATTTTCTAAGTTTCAATATTCGATTGTATTTGCCAACCGTCTTATACGAAGTGAATTTATTTCTCAAACTTTCCGTAGCATACGGTGCCATAGTAGTTATTTATTACTGTATTCTGAACAAGAAGAAGCATTCTGAGGAGCAACTTAACTGACCTAAAACCAAGCTGAACTTCTCTACCATCCAACACCTACTTGAATTGGATGTCAGTCAGGTTACAGGTCTGTAATTTGAAATGATGCAAATCAGCAGGATCTGATGGAGTGTCTCTAAAGATTTTTGAGGCTGGTGGTGACAAACTGATGTCTGAGTTAACTAAGGTATTAGACAAAGTCTCGGAATCAGAGATAATCCCATTGGACTGACGTGAGTCATTCATTATCCCAGCATACAAGAAGGGATGAAGGTCTTCCTATGACAGTCATACATGGATTAGCTTGACTAATACGGTATCAACAGTTTTTGGATTCAATAATCTTAAGTAGATTTAGTGGTGCTAGGGAGAAACAAACATAAGAAAACCAGGGAGGCTTTAAATATGGTAGGGGTTGCATTGATCAGATCTTCGCCTTTCGACACATTCTGGGACACACGCATATCTACCGGCGTCCAACAACTGCTATATTTTGGCCTGAAAGTGGCATTTGATGCCGTCGACTGACAGGTACTATGGCGGTGTTTATCTGCGAAGGGAATGCCGAGGAAATATATTACACCGATCAAGGTACTCTATTTGAACTCATGCAGTCAGCCAGGTGAGAGCCTACAAAGAGTTGTCATATGAAGTGATAACAACCAGTGGCCGCCAGGGATGTCCACTGTCTTCATTTCTGTTTAATCTTATTATAGATGTACTAATGGGCTTAACTCTAGGTGACTTCAGTGACTCGGGGATTGACTTCTTACCAGAGAAAAATCTCTTTGACTTAGAATATACAGATGATAGTCCTTCTAGGTGAAGACTCTGACAAAATACAGAGTCTTCCGAACACCTGGACCAGAAATCTGCGAATGTTTGGCATGTGATTTGCTTCTGTCGTATGTAGGATGATGCTACAGGATCGGACTACATTGACTCTTAACTTAAAGATAAGGAGGGAGCAAATTAGTAGAGCGTGTTCACTACTTCAATCCTTTGAGAAGGTGCATCAGCCAAAACGGGCTGATTGTTGATGAAATCTCAGTACGGTTAAAAAGGGTTCGTTTGGCCAACATACGTAGACATCATATCTAACTAATGGTCAGAGGATATGTGTGTTGCACAAAAGTTCTTTCTGTCTTCCTTTATGGCTGTGAGTGAGACATGGCCATTGAAAGTGGAAGAAAAGAGAGGATCAGCTATTTTTGCTTCTGATTTCTAATTCCTACATTAGGTGCTATAATAGGGCGAGTAATACTGAGGTTAGGCGTCGAGTATTTGGTGAGGAGGGAAAGTCAGTCAATGAGGTTGTGAAGCTACATCTGTTGAGATGGTTTGGACATGTGTTACTCATGCATTCCTGTCTGTCTCTTTTCTCGAAGAGGAATGTTAGCTGATATAGGACCAAGCTGGAAAAAAGCCAGTGATGGTTTAATTACAAAGATTTTCGACTAAAAATTGATATCTAAATGGTTTTGTTTGAAAGCTATCTACTGACAGTTTACATTTAGAGGTGGTGTCTGGTTAAGCACAAAATACTGTTAATGATTGCTAGCATCATAATTAAATAACCTTGGCTAGTTAACTAGTTCCCTAGTTTTCTAGCCGGTCCCAAGGCTGACTAAAGAGAGAGGGATGGGCGTAGAGCTGGCAAACCTACACCACTAAAACTATCAATCTGCTACAGAAACTTCAACACACAAAAGATATTTTAAAAACACAAAAAATTCAAGGAGCAATCTTATTCCTTGCTGGGATCGGAGAGGCGAAACGACGCAGAGGATTAGTGAAAGCCTTCGGCAAGCTAGTCAGTCGATGAGTCTTCTGTCGATGAAAGCAAGAATAAGAATAGGGAAGGTAAAAAGGTCACAATTATCATGCAATGCTATGCGCAGTGCTACAAACAACGCAGAACAAGAGAAGGAAGATTTTCATAGGCAACTATAAAGGGTAAGTGACAACATCCCAAATGGCAACATCAAAATCCTTATGGATGATATTAATGCCAAACGAACTAGGAGCAGGTAATACAGGAAGAGAACTGATCACGGGTTGACAGGATCTCGCTAGGTGAAATGAATGAGAGTGGAGAACTCTTCGCAAACTCCTACACCTTCACTGATTTGGTAATCGGAGGCAGCGTTTACAAGCACAAGGATATACACAAAGCAACATAAATTTCGTCTGACGGACACACCACAAACCAAACATAATTTATTTCAATGTTGCTTAGAGGCGCAGCCTGCAGGATACAAAGTTGAGAAGGGGGATATATGTTGGCTCAAACTATTATCTAGTTCAAGGAACCTTCAAGGTGAATCTGAAATCCCTCAAAACAAATGAAGACAAGCCACAATTCAAGTTCAACGTTTAGAAACTGAAGGAAAAAACTACAAGGAATGCTTTCATTTCAGATCAGATCAGAGGAAAGTCAGCGACACTACGTGGCATCCTCGAGGAAATCTGTGTGGAAGAACATTGGAACTAACTCTCTGAAGGTGATGTTCAAGGAAACGTGTACAACTGTTCTGGGAAGTAAAAGGAGATAAGGCGAGAAATGGCTCTCAACGGACACCTACCTGGAAGCTGATAGAAGAGAGGAGGATGGTAGAAAAAAAGATGAATCAACACAAAGATGGACGAGAGAAGGAGAAGTTGAGTTCAATGTAAACTGCACTGAATAAAGAAGTGAAGAAGAGTTCTAGGAAAAACTTAAAGTCACTTCTACGACACAATGGCAACTGAAGGAGAATACGCAGGTGAACATGTAGTGACCATTTTATTACTCATCTTTGTAGTATACTTTCACTATGTATTTGGACTTTGATTTGTTTATCACTCTAAATATAGCGTGTTAACAATTGATACTTTTGTACTCGCTCAACTTTTGAATTTCGATTACTGCGATAATACACGTTTGTACACCTTCTCAAGTGCCTTTTGATTTACGTTGTGGACGTCGAGCAAACACAATGTTAGGACACAATAACAAACGAGAAGAAGTTCTAGGATATACGTGTACGCAAGTTTGGTCAAATAGAGCACCACAACAAACATAGTTAAGACGGTAGTGATAGAAGTAACCAACCGACAGCAACAATAACCAGCACCAATCGCCATTGAAAGGGTAAATTTAACAGAAGTTACTTCCTTTTCTTATCTAGGAAGCATTGTTTCAACTACAGGCGCGTTAAACGGATGAATATGTCAAAGTCAGAATCGGAAAGGCAAGATACGCCTTCGTCAACCTGAAACCGGTTTGTAAATCTTCTACACTCGGCATGAGGAACAAGATTCACATTTTCAACACCAATGTCAAGTCGATCAGTTCTTTTATAAGTCTCAGAAACTTGGCTGGAGTGTCACAAAAAGGATTTCCAGCAAGTTGCAGACTTTCACCAACAGCTGCCTTAGCTGGTCTCATACTGAAGATCAAATGGCTAGCTGGCCAAAAAGAATATGTAACAAGAAACTGTGGGAACAAATCAACCAAGAGTCAATCGCTGAATAAATATGTAGGAGAAAATGGAGATGGATCGGGCATACATTGAGTAGACCGTCGAATGTCATCGCGCACCA